TGGGAGCTGTGGATAGATGGAGCTCAGGGGGCCAAGAGAAGCTATCGCTCAGGGGAGCGAGCTCTGGACAGATATCTCCCGACTCCTGATCATTGTCTCAGACAGACCCAGAGAGGGGGCAGGAGAAAAAGGGGGCACCTGCACGGGAGGACATTAGGCCCAGGGAAGAGTATAGGAGGGGACAAGAGACAGGGACTGGGTACCCAAACTAAGGGATGGACAGGGAGGAAAGCAAGCAGGATAGAAGTGGAAGGCAAGGGACAGAGAGGAGAGAGGTCAGGGGACATCCAGGAAATGGAAAAAAAGAGGCAGGGGGGTGGGAGGTCAGCAGAGGGTCAGGGCAGAGAGAGAGTCCAGAGGGACAATTGATCAGGTGCTAGGGACAGATAGGCCAGGCAGACAGAGAGCACTGGAGAGACAGGCTGAGATTCGGAAACACAGGCTGGGGAGACAGACCCAGCCAGAGACTCAGCTGGGCTGCGGGGAGCCCAGAGCTAAAGGGGAGGGGCGGTCAGAGGAGGACAGGCAGAAGGAAGCTGGTGGAGGGGAGCCGAGGGGGTCCTGTCAGAAGCTCTCCACCCTGAGTCCAGAGGTGGCTTTGGGGCCACATGTTCCGCCTAGGACCAGAAGGATGGGCCTGGGAGCCAAGGCGGAGGAGGGAGGGCCTGAGATGGGGCCAGAGGACACTTGGCCTGGGATCTTCCCCTCTCTGTGATTGGACCCTGGACTCTCAACTCCTGTACAGATGCAGCCCTTCCGGGCCAGTCCGTGGGGAGTGAGCAGTGGACAGCCGGTGGGACCTTGTGGCTGAGCAGTCGTGCCGTCTCCATGGAAGACGCTGCGGGCTGTGCTGCCAGCGAAGTTCTGCCACTTAGGAGCTGGCGGCTCCACTGTCACTGCCTGGGCCAGGGGCCGTCTCTGGGGCAACGCTGTGCTCTGCTCAGCAGTGGGGCCTGACCCAGGCTGTGTAGGTGGCCTGGTCCAGCCAGTCTGGCCTGTCCATTCCCTGTAGCGTCCCTCAGACCTTAACTACTTCCACCCACCTCCGTGTGTCACCCTGCCTCCCTGCACAACTAGCCGGAGGTCGCACTTGCCAGGTAATGATACCCTCCCAGGCTCGGCACTCACTCCATTCCGCAAGGGCCTGGCTCAGTGTCCTGTAACTTGTGCCTGCGTGGATCTGTTGGAGGTAAACACACCCGTCCAGGACTGCCCAGCCAGGGCCAGGGGCTTCTGGGTCATTCCTGCAAGGAACACCCACCAGTGCTTTGTAAGCCCCGCCTTGATTTCCCATCCGCTTCCGTTCTGTTTGAATCTTAGCTATCATCACTTGCTGTGTGCCGTTAACCAAGCCACTTTCTATCTCTGCGCTTCAGTCACCTTGTCATTAAACAAGAGGGCAACAACCCGGGTGTGATGGTACATGCCCGTAACCCCAGCACTCTCAGAGGCTGAGGTAGGAGGATTGCAAATTCAAGCCCAACCTGGGCAACTTAGTGACTTAGGGAGACCTTGTCTCAAAACAGTATGTGTGTGGAGGGGGGTGAGCAAGGGATGTAGTTAAGTGCAAAGGTCCTGGGTTCAATCCCCAGTGCTGAAACAAAGATGAAAACTGGGGAACAATACATCATGTGATTTCCGGGAGGCTCAAAGGAAAAAATAGATCGAAAGCACCTATGGGATGACCTGGTACAAGGCAGGGTGTTTACAGAGTTTGCCTCCCTTCTACCTTCACCCCTCTTTCTGCCAATCTCACTGGGCCCTAGGAGGTGCTCTGGTGGGTGCTCCTGACCCCGGGGAGGTCACAGACCCATGGTGAGGCCAAGCTCCGGGGAGACCACAGTGTTGCCTGGCACTCAGGGCTCTACTAAGGTGGAGCAACGAGAGAACATTTGTGAGCAGCTAAAAACCCTGAGCCCCCACCAGCCGGGCCTCTGTTAGCCCCTCAACCAGAGCGTGGCCTCAAAACTGGCTGCGTCGGCAGAGCTGATTCCAGCATCCTCTCAGCCTGAAACAGGAAGAGGTTGGCTACTGTGAGATTTTCGCAGATACTTAGATATTCGCTCCACTTGCCTTTCCACCCTCCCAGCTGCCCAGGAATCTTGTACCCAGCCCGCCTCTGGGTTCCCCTGCCTTGGAGAGAGGTCTAGGCTCAGGTTGCCCTGCTGGCCTCTTGCCCTTTTGTCTCACACTTTCCTACTCCCAGTGATCAGAGGCCAGCAGGTTGTTAGAAACACAGAGCTGGCCCTGTCCCCACCCATCTGTGGAATCAGCACCTGCACTTTATTAATTGTTTTTTTGTTTTTTTTTTTTTTTTGGTTTGGTTTATTTTCCGGTACCGGGAATTGAACTTACTACCTTGTGCTTGCCAGGCAGGCACTGTGCCACTGAGCTAAATCCCCAGCCCAGCACCTGCACTTTAAAAGGTCCTTAGGTGAACTGCTTGCAAGTGGGAGTCAGAGAACCAGTGCTCTTGAAAGTGATGGCAAAGCAGCCTCATCCGCTGAGCCTCAGTTTCCTCATCTGTAGAGAGATGATGTGTGCAGCCCTATAGATAGGTTTGTTGTGAAGATCTAATAGAGCACGCTAAGTATTTGTATACCCTCTGCGGCGCAGCAAGTGCTCCGGAAGTGTCTGCCACGCAGAGGGACACAGCCGGGGGCGTAGAGATGGGGCTAGGCCAGCGCTGGGGATGAAGGACTTGGACCCAGAAGTTGCAGAAAGACAAAGGAGGAATTGAAAAGCAGGAGATTTGGAGAGGAGAGGTGAGGAAGGTGCGGAGGAGTGGAGCGGCAGGGAAAGAGGAGTAGAAGGAGCGTCGGGGAAGGTCGAGGGGGCACATCCTGCCGCATTTCACCTGGGTGCGCCGGGTGGCAACTGGCCCTTGAGGTGGGGCGCGTGTGGGATGGGGGTGCCTGCGATGACTGTGGGAGCAGCTGGAGGCTTGTGACCGACCGGATGAGCTCCACCTCTCCGCGCTGGCTGTGTGACTTCGGGTGAGAAGTCCATCTCTGGGCACAGTGTCCTCATCTGTAATAAAGGAAATAAGGAAACCAATCTGAAACCATCGCTGAGTGGACTCAGGAGACGTCACCCTTTTGTAAACGCCAGGGTGCTTGTTAGGCCTGTGTTTTTGTGTTAGGAATACAAATAGGCAGGTAGTTGGTGATAGAAGAACAGAGAAGGATCAGGGTCATGGTGCCCGGCGCACTGTAGCGGCGTGGAGCGGTGGAGGACTCGACCTAGCACCCAGGACCCTCTGTTCTCAGATCTCTGCGCATCCGCTACCCTCACACCGACTCTCTCCCTTCTGCCTCAGTCTGCAGCCAGGCGGTCCGGAGCTCTTTTCCCTCTACGAGGCTTGCAGCTTTGAGGCAGCCTTCGCGGTGTGAACTGGGGGCGGGGGCGGGGGTACCCGTGGGCGTGATTGAGTGCGCTGACCCCTGGCCCCCAGGGAAGGTGCTGCCTGTGATGGATTTGACTCAGGGGCTTGTCTCTGTGGGGTGAGGCTGGCAGGGGGAACTAGAATCCGCCTCTCCGGCAACTGCTTTCCCACCCCAGCTGCTACGTAACTCCAGGCCCTTGCTAAATCTCCAGCTCGAGCCTCCGCTTCCATCTCCTGGGCGCCAGCGCCATCTGGCGTCCATTCAGGAGAACTCCGCACGGAGGGAAGTAACCGCTTATTTAAGGGTCTCTGATGCTCACCTTGGGGCAGGTGCTGGGGACCCTAGGCAGGTTCCTGCTCCTTGGCACTCACGTTAGTCAGGCGAGGTGGACAAGAAGACAAGCAGATAAACAGGATCATCTCGCACCTTGATAAGCAGCTTGAGCAAACCAACAAACTCAACATGGGTATACTGTGTCCGAGTATAACGCTTAAACTGAGGCTCTGTGCGCGCGCGTGTGTTTGTGTCAGAGAGACAGACAGACAGACAGACAGACAGAGATGTGCAGGGTGGGTGCATCCCAGGAGAGGAAACAACAGCAACGAAGGCTGAAGAAGAAAGGAGAATCGGATGTTTGACTTTGTCACAAATCTGGGGGTGCCTGGTTAGGAGAGGCAGGCAAGGGTCACATAACACGGAGACCTTTTTTCTTTTATCGTTTTTTTGAGACAGGGTCTCACTATGCAGTTCAGGCTGGGCTTGAGCTCACTGCTGAATATTGCTCAGGCTGGCCCCATGGCAATCCCCCTGCCTCAGCCTTCCAAGTGCTGGGCTTACAGGTGTGTGTCACCATGCTCAGCTTCACATGGGGAGTTTCAGGCTGGGGAAAGAATGTGACTTTATTCCCTCAAAAATGGGAAGCCATTGTTGCTGTCCTTTAAAAATAGATTTTTCTTGTGTATATTTGAGGTTTGATTGACGATGTGGGATACAGGTAGTAAAGGCTGGCAGGTGACTGGATCAGGTCTAAGTGTGCTGGCTGTCGTCCGGAGAATAGAGAGCCAGAGAGGGATGGAGGGGCTGCTTAGGAGGAGATGACAGTGGGACAGGAGGGGAATCCACTGGGGATGGGAGGAAAATGGATTCTTTCAGAGATGGACATTTCAGGCATCCTAACTTGGAAAATTTGAGTAGCTGTGGTGGGGCTCTTTATTCAGAGAATTGTGGCAGGGGGACAGGATTTGGGGAAACACCAGGAATCCTGCCAGTGACACATTGTAAGCTGGAGCTGCCTTTTAATCAATTAAGGGAGGAAACCAGTAGAAAAGATGGAGGAACTCAGAGGAGAGCTGGACTTATTTGATTTTTTTTCTTTCATTTGTTTGGAGACAAGGCCTTAGTGTGTAAACTAGGCTAGCCTCAAACTCACAATCTTCCTGCCTCAGCCTCCTGAATGCTGAGATTATAGATGTGCACTACCATGTCTGGCTGAGAGCTGGGCTTTATATTAATTGCAGGCATATGTGGCAGGGGTGACCTCTGGGGGTACAAGGAAGCTTGGAGTTGTCTCAGCCCTTCCTTCTATTTCCCCTCTCCTTTCTTACCCCCTGCCAGGTGTATACTCGTTATGGGAAATGTTACACCTTCAACGCAGATCCACAGAGCTCACTGCCCAGCCGGGCAGGGGGCATGGGCAGTGGCCTGGAGATCATGCTGGACATCCAACAGGAGGAGTACCTGCCCATCTGGAGGGAGACAAGTATGCAGGCGGGAAAGGGACAGGGCCAGCCAGGGGATGGGGGCCTGGGCCCTCTGCCTGGATGAGTCTCCAGAGGTCCTCCTCTCTGCTGTGCAGACGAGACGTCATTTGAAGCAGGCATCCGGGTGCAGATCCACAGCCAGGAGGAGCCACCCTACATCCACCAGCTGGGGTTTGGCGTGTCCCCAGGCTTCCAGACGTTTGTGTCCTGTCAGGAGCAGCGGGTGAGCATGCCCAGCTGGGCCTAGTTGGGCAAAGGGCTGGGCTGCCATGCTTGGAGGGGATGCTGACCGGAGCCCCAGCCCCACAACCTTTGCTGGGGCTGGGCACCAACGTCTGGGCAGGACTCCTGGCTTTGACCTCGTGCTCCACCTCTGCAGCTGACCTATCTACCCCAGCCCTGGGGCAACTGCCGGACAGAGAGCGAACTCGGGGAGCCTGAGCTGCAGGGCTACTCAGCGTACAGTGTGTCTGCCTGCCGGCTGCGCTGTGAAAAAGAGGCCGTGCTCCAGCGCTGCCACTGCCGGATGGTGCACATGCCAGGTGGGCACCCACACCCAGCCGCTCTGCTGGGTTCCAGGCCCTCCAGGGGCAGGGCTCCACTTGTGTGCTCCAGCTAGTGCCTGTGTATGTGTGTGCGTGTCTATACCCGTGTGAGTGCACCTATGTAGATGTGTGGGGTGTTCTGCATGCTTCCGGATCTGAATCTGGGAATGCATGCACGCATACGCCAGTGTGCCTGATTAATATATGTTGGGGTGTGTGTGTTTGTGCACATCTGTGCTTGTGTATTTTTGGAATTTGTGTGCATGCACTCAGATACATATGTACAAATGTGTATGTGTATGTATGCAAGGACGCCTATGTTTTCACGCATAGGTGTACATACGCACTTCATGGTGATATGCATGAGTGTGTATAAGTTCATCTGTGTATGTGCAGACCCACACATCTGTGTGCATGCCCACACTTGGTCGTGTGGTGAGGGAGAGGGGCAGGGACCATAGATTCCAGGAGTAATCTTCTCTCCTTTCAGGCAATGAGACCATCTGCCCGCCAAATATCTACATCGAATGTGCCGACCACACACTGGGTCCGTGCTGCCTTCTCCCTTCCCTACCTCTCCATCACTGTCCTCATCTTTCTGTACACCTCTCTCCTTGCTGTCCTGGCTCCTGTCCTCCCAGCCTTTCCCTGGAGGGTTTTTCCTGGGGGTTGAGCTTTATTCCATACCTGGGGGGGGGGGCAGTGTCTGAGGACCTCTAAGGTGCAGACACCTGGGTAAGTGGTGACTGCAGCATGGAGGGGAGGTTGTAGAGTACCCAGGACTGGTAGTAAAGGGCTGGGCTTTGCACCTTGATTCAGCCAGTGCACTCACCCTCTCCGAGAAAGGGCAATGACTTCTCTCTTGGTCTTAGGAAAAATCCATTGCTGGCTATAATTCTGAGTAAGGCAGATCCCATCTGTCCACAGGTCTTGCCGGATTTGCAGTCCATCCGTCTGTCCGTCTGTCCATCCATCCATCCATCCATCCATCCATCCGTCTACTGGTTGATTCATTTGTTGTTTAGATCTTTACAGCCTGTGCTGGGTGCTGAGGTGAGAGTGGAAACAAGAGCGCGGCCTTTGAGAGTGTACAGCCCGAAGGAGCTGTGGGCAGGTGTGGTGTGGTACACAGCAGTGTGGCAACTTTTGGATAGGGATACTTACAGGTGTTACAAGGCCCAAGGAAGGGGCATGCAGCCCCGCTGGGGAAGGCAGGGAGGATTCCTAGAGGGAGTGACATATTAGCTGAGGCTTAAAGAGTGCCTGAGAGTCAGCCAGGTGCAAAGGGGGACATGTTTTAGGTGATAGAAACTGTGTTAAGGATCTAATGGCCAGAGAAGGCATGGTTCATCTAGGGCCCTGAAAGGTTGGTGTGGCTGGAGGCAGACAGCAGGGGAGGAGCAGAAGAGAAAGGCTCTGGGAAGCCAACAAAGGCTTAAGGCAAGGCTGGAAGACCATCTGATCTTCCGCAGGTGAATGTGGTAAGATGTGAAGAGTGGATAGGACTCAGAAAGGCCATGCGCTTATTTCAGTCATCCAGATGTGATGGGGTCCTGGGGATGGGGATTTGGGATGCTGGGGCCGTGGACACACCCAGACCTCCTCCATCCCCTGAACTACCCGCACCTGTCAAACAAGTGCTTGAGAGTTCAATAAAGAAACAGATGAGCTGGGCAGGGTGGCACCTGCTTATAATCCCAGCACTCTGCGAAGCTGAGGAAGGAAGATTGTAAGTTTGAGCCCAGCCTGGGAAACTTTGCAAGACCCTGTCTAAAAATAAAACACAAAAAATGTCTAGGGATGTAGCTCAGTGAAAAGGCCTTGGATTCAATGCCCCTTTTTCTAAAAAAGAAAGAAGGAACAGATGTGTGAGCAGGGATAACAGCTATAAGGGATGTGGGAGTCCACAGAATTAAGGTCCCCACGGAGTCTTCACTCTTCCAGACCTGAAGAACCCAGAGAGACCAAGGGATGCATCTGGCAGCATCCTGGGGCACAAAGCAAGGTGGAAGTGGGTAGAGAATGGATCTGAAGGAGCAGAGAGAAACTCACCACACTGAGTGTGTGAATCCTGTCACTTGTTCTTCCATCCATCCATCCATCCATCCATCCATCCATTCATCCATCCATCCATCTATCCATCCATCCACCCATCCACTCCTCTATCCATCCATCCATCCATCCATCCATCCATCCATCCATCCATCCATCCATCTACCTATCCATCCATCCACCCACCCAGCACCCTCTCTATGCCTCTTCCTGTGTCTGAGGCCTCATGGAGTTGCCTACTTCTGGCAGATGGGCTCTGATCTTGCTCTGAACCATGGGATCTCCCTGTCCCAGGGGACTGAGTGCAGATGGATAAGCCTGTAGAAGGTCCTGCCCTCTAGAATAGTCAAACTGGTCCAGGAGGCCCCAAGCCAGTGTCCTCTAGGAAGGCCAGGGCTGGCCCTCGGTGTGGACATGCTGGCCTCAGTACAGCCCAAAGCCCCCTCCCTACAGCTAATGGGCCTGTGGCCTCCCTTCCCTGCTGCAATTGGTATCTCTGTGTTGCAGATTCCCTAAGTGGGAGCTCAGAGGGGCCGTGCTTCTGCCCTACCCCCTGCAACTTGACTCGTTATGGGAAAGAAATCTCCATGGTCAAGATCCCCAACAGGGGCTCAGCCCGATACCTTGCAAGGAAGTACAACCGCAATGAGACTTACATACGGTATGTGCTTCCATACAGGCGGTGGGGTGTGTGCTTGTGTGTGTGTGTGTGTGTGTGTGTGTGTGTGTCTGGTGCATAGTGGTGTCTGGGAGTGGGCTGATCTTTGTGCATGACAGGGCTTCTGCCAGGAATATCACTTGCAATAATTTTGTTCTAACTACCTTCCCATCTTTGTCACATCCTGTGTCACCTCTTTGGGTGCAGAGCCTTTCAAATGAGCTCCCACAGTACCTTGTACATATCTCTGCCATTTCATGGCTCCATTGTGCAGAAGCCTTTGCAGGTCTTTCTCTTCTGGCACTTAGGGAGCAGTTAAATGCATATAGAGTGAACGCCATGCTAAGGGAGTGAAGGAGGGTAGGAGGGGAGAAGAACAAGAAGGGGCCACACTGAGTCTTGAGTCGGGTACCCAGGAACCAATCCACAAATGCTCAGCATGATCTGTGCATCAAGCTCAGTGCTGGGTGTCATGAGGACAGATGACTAGTACATAAAACCAATGCACAGTTCGTGAGCGAGGCGTCTTTGATGGTGTAGTACTGATTCACAGGCCCCGTGGGCCTTGGAGCTTGGGAGAAGGGCGAGGTGGCATCCCGGTTAGAGAAGTAGGTGGCACTGAGATGAGCCCGGGCATCGGGGAGGCTGTGTGAGAGAGCTGAGAAAAAGCAGTTTGAGTAAAAAGACGCAGTGCAATAGACGCTGGGCAAGAAAGTCAGAGGACTTTTAGAGTGAATTGATGGGCAGTAGGGAGCTACTAAAGGTTTTAGAAAGGCATAAGCATGAGGCAGAGGGAATACATTTTGACGGTGGTTGTTGGGGAACAGGCTGGTGGTGCTGCTGGCAGACAAATTATAAAGGTAGCATACATCTGGGGCTGCCTCCTCCCATGACCTAGGGAGTCTAAGGCGCTGGTTACCAGCTCCCCAGCACAGAGGGAGCTCCAATCAGGATGTGCCAGGCCTGGGACGCCCCTGGCAGCAGCCTCTTTAGGAAGAACGGCTCCACAAGGATGTCTTTTTCTGTCTCCACAGGGAGAACTTCCTGGTCCTGGATGTCTTTTTTGAGGCCCTGACCTCTGAAGCTATGGAGCAGCGAGCAGCTTATGGCCTGTCAGCCTTGCTGGGTAAGACTTGGCCCGTCTCATTGCCATGGGTGGATCAGTCCAGCCGCCTCCCACCCCCTGACTCTGCCCTCCTGTTCCCCAGGAGACCTCGGGGGACAGATGGGCCTGTTCATCGGGGCCAGCATCCTTACACTGCTGGAGATCCTGGACTACATCTATGAGGCAAGGGAGCCGGAGCTGGGAGTGTGGACAATGCAGAGGGGGCGGTGCAGGCTCCTGGTGGAGCCGGTCTGGAACGGCGCCGGATTGCTGGGCAGCACATCCTATACACTGGGCTGGCTAAAGCCCTCTCTTCTCTTCCAAATTTCCTGAGCCCACTATCTGTCCCCCTGCCCCTCAAGGTATCCTGGGACCGACTGAAGCGGGTGTGGCGGAGGCCTAAGACGCCCCTGAGGACCTCCTCTGGGGGCATCTCTACTCTGGGGCTGCAGGAGCTGAAGGAGCAGGTGAGCGCAAGCTCTGGAGAGCATGCGGCCAGGCCCTCTCCCCAGACTGAGCACACCCAGAGTTCCTGAACTAACCTTCTGGAGGGCTCCCCAGGGGATAAGAAAAGGCCCCTGTGTGAGGCCTGGGGGCTCTGCTGAGTCCTCCTATTCTACTCCCTCTTCATCCTGCAGAGTCCCTGTCCAAGCCGGGGCTGTGCTGAGGGTGGGGGCGCCAGCAGCCTGCTCCCTAACCACCACCACCCCCACGGCCCCCCAGGAGGCCTCTTTGAAGACTTTGCTTGCTAGGATGGTGCTGTGTCAGAAAGGACCCAGGAGTCTGGGACCCTCCCTGGATCCCCAGCTTCTCTCCTGCTCATAGGACAGGAAGCCTGGAGCAGTCCAGGGCTGAGGCAAGAGGGTGGTGCTCACTCCCGGGCCAGCACTCAGCTCTGGCTCACTGACCTTTGTCCCAGCTGCTCTGCACAAGGGTCCTCCTTGTCCAGACTCTCCACCCCCAGGCTGGTACCAAGGAGGGCTGGAGACCAGACTATGGGCCCCTGTAGAGGGGAAGGAGGGACCGAGAGAGGGAGGTGGAGCTGGAGCCCACCCCAGCGGGACGGAACTCTGTACATTTGTATATACTAGGGAGGACGGGGTGGGGGTGGGGTGCAGATGTAGAGGGCGGGTGGGGACGCAGGGTGGGTGATTTAGGGAAAGCCAGGATCCCAGCTAAACGTCAGTAGGAGAGGGAGAGCCCCTAGGACTCAGGCGTGCTGGGCTGATCCTACTTTCCCCTCTCCAGGGCCAGCTCCCCTCTTGGCAGGGGGAGTGGGTGGCCCAGCAGGTCTGGCCCAGCTCCCAGTTCCCCCTGCACCAACCCCACTCCAAGTCCCTTCCACAGGGAGCAGCCAGGCCTTTCAGATCTTGGCTGAGCTTGGGGGATGGAAAAGGAGACTCCTCAGGCCTCTCCCCTTCCCGACTGGTTTTATAAAGTGTTGACGAAACTAGGAATAAAGAGGCATAAAGAATTCTCTGTGTATGTGTGTGTGTGACCAAGCACATGCTGAGGGCTGGGGTGGGGCTGGTTCCTGTAATACAAATGCAGGCCCCAGCAGTGACAGTGCACCTCCACTCTCAATCTCCCCACCCCCACCATGCCTACCTTTCAAAACTTGAATTCACCAGTCCACACTCAGCCAGTTTATTAAAGGCAGGGAGCTGCGTCAGGGGTCTAGAAGGGAGAAGGTAGGAGGTGCCCCCTTCCTCTCTCAGCCCCCTACTTCTCCAACAACTCACTGCAGCCCAGCCCCCAGGACAAAACCCCAGGAGGCCCGGCTGGCGTCAGGCAGACTGCACTGCATAAATACACGGAGGCCACAGCCTGAATCAGCAGCGTCAAGGGGGCAGGAAGACCGGGCTTAGGGCAAGAAGGGTTGGCTCTGGGGATACCTCCCCAAGAGCTTGTCCTGAGCCCCAGGGCCCACAAAGCCAGAGTTAGGGGACCAGTGGACTGCCCCGGGGTCTGAGGCAGCCAGCCCTGTCCTGTGAGGCTGGTATGTGGCTCTAGGTTATTGGGGAGGAGCAGGGCAGGGTGAGATCGTGCCATTGCGCAGGGACCCAGGGCGAGGTCAGGTGCTATTGCCCTGCTCCTGCTCAAAGAGCAGCATGGCAAGCTGGGTTCGAGAACCAAGGCCCTCGAGCATGCTCTGGCGGCAGCGGTGATACAGGTCCTCACTGAGGCGTGCGCTGCACCATTGGGCCCGGTAGCGCTGCAACAGCGCCGGCTCCACAGCCCGCAGCACATGCAGGCTAGAGAAGCGCAGGAATAGCTCATATACATCCAGGCTCTCCAGCAGCTCCTCCTCCTGCTCTGAGGCTGCTGCCAGCTGCCCTCGAGCAGCCACATAGTCGGAGTTGTAAAAGCAGGCCTCGCTGGCCGCCTGGCGATCAAAGCGGCCTGTGTCACGGCCCAGCTCTAGTGGCCCAGGCCCCTGTGGTGGAGCTACAGCCGGGTGGAAGGCCTGGAAGTGCATGGGAAAGAAAGCCTGCCAGCCAGAGATGGCATGCATGCGGCAGCGATTCAGGAAGTCAGGTGTGAGCACCGTGTCTGGCCCAGCCAGCAGGAATAATGTGTCCAGCGGGTGCTTCTTGGAGAGTAGATCCATGAGGCGCAGTGGGGAGGGTGCAGCGGTTTGCACACTAAGCCAGGGCACCCGGGCACCAGGGAAACGCCGCTCTAGCTCTGCCACATAGGCCTTGACGGGTGCAAAAACATCAGCATGGGCTGCCCGCTGGGCCTGGCGTGGTTCATACAGTAGTAGCAAGGTCAGGGCTGCTGCATCGCCAGGCTCCAGGGCTGCAGTGGCAAAGGCCTCCAGGAAGTTAGGGGCCAGGTCACGCTCAGCCGCAGCCAGAGGCAGCAGCACAGTGAGACGTGAGGCCTCCGTGACATAGGGCACGGGCAAGATCTCCACTCGGCTCAGAGGCCGGAGCAGCTGAACTCGGCGGGTGAGAGGCCTGCGGCCGCCCTGGGGGGTCAGTGCCTCCAGCTGCAAGTCCAGTGTGTACTCCATACCCCGGGCTGGGTCGAAGCGTCGGTAGCCATTAACCAGCTGCTGCTTCTGGAGTCGCAGGGCTGGGTGGTAGCGGCGGTTGAGCTCTTCCAGGGCTGCCCCCAGGACATCAGCTACATCAGCCCGATCAGCCCCATGAAGTGGGCAGCGAGGTGAGCCATCAGCACAGGAGAAAGCATGCTGCTCTGTGAAGTAGTCCCAGCGCAGGACCTCAAAGCGGGAGGCTGGGCGGGATGGCGCCGGGATGCCCACAGGCCAGGCAGCAGCCCGCTCTCCATCAGCAGCCAGACGGCTGGTGTTCTGGATCTCCCACTGGACAGAGAAACAGGTCATGAGCAAGGCAGAGCACATTATCTGGGGGGCTGGGACGGCGGAGGTACCCCAGGATCCTGCCAACTTTTGCCCACCCAGGGCCCCCACCTTTCTGCAAGTAGAGGCAGTTTAAAAGTTAAAAGAGGCATTTCTGGGGGGCTCTTCAGAGAAGGTGGAGTCAGGACTGGAAAGCAAGTTTGTTCTGTGATTCTAACACTAACTTTTTATTTCTTGGGAGCTCTGAGACATCAGAACCTGTTCTCCCGTACCCCCAATCACTTCATTCCCCATACCCTCAAGCCCAGGCCATACCTGCAACTCCCGGATCTCCTGGTATGTGCGTTCCAGCTCAGCTCGGGCAAAAGCCTTGTGCAGCTGGTACATGTGCACGGGGTCATGCACAGGGTGGGCTGTCAAGGCACTTCGGAAGCGAGGATCCCCTTCCCGTATGGACTCCCCAGGGCTCAGCTCCAGATAGTTATAGTGTACCCCCTGGGGAGAAAAAGGGAAGGGGTCCATAATAGGAATAATGACGACTTCCCCCTGATTTCACAGTATCTCATTTCCTCATCCGACAATCCATTTTGGATTTGGAGTCAGATCTCTGTGGGTTTATGTCTACTTAAGTGACCAGCTGAGCTTGTGTGACTTGGGCAAGCTTCTGCCAGCTCTGTGAAAGGGACATGTCATCTGTCTCAGGCTCAAATAAAATAAAAATTAACGCTGACCATTTAGTACATGCAAGCTTCCCTTATTTTAATTCTTTTTATTTATTTATTTATTTTTTGTCTTTTTGAGACAGGGTCCCGCTATGCAGTTCAGGCTGACCTTAAGCTCACGTTATAGCCCAGGCTGGCCTCGAACTCACAATGATCCTCCTGCCTCAGCCCCCCCGAGTGCTAGGATTACAGGTGTGTGCCACAGCGCCCGTCTTATTTTCTCTAATTCTTATAACAATTCTGCATCATGATAGTTTCCATTGGCATGCATAAGACCACTGAAGCTCAGATTTATTAATTTATCCAAGGTCTCAGGGATAGATAATGACATAACTAGCATGGAAACCCAGGCCTGTACTTCAACCACCCCTCTCCCCTCAAAGAAGAGGGCAGGCTCAACCAGGAAGTGCCAGTGGGGAGCTTATCTTTTCACCTCGTGGTCACCAGTGCAGCCCACCCCGGTGGCATCGATGATGCATCGTCCCAGCCATTCATCAGGACGCGCACTGACGATATCATTGCGGCAGCCTTCCAGGTGGGGGCGCAGCTGCTGAAGCAGGGTGCGCGATAGCAGCACCCCAAAACTGCCGTGGCAATAGCGGCCTTGTGTAGGCTCGCCACCAATGAAGTCCTGGGGCCGGCCTAGATAGAGGTGGGCAGTGGAGGCCAGGCTGAGGCGGCCGGTTAGGCGTGCCAGTCCGTGAGCCTCGGTGTAGGTGGCATCAGGCACTAGGAAGAACCAGTCAAAGTCGTCACCGTGCTGCTCCAGCAGGTGGCGCAGGGCCAGGTGCAGGTGCCCGATGGGCCGCTCTTCGCCCAGCGTCACCACTGCCATGCCAGTGGGTGTGCGGCGGCCCCGCGCGCCTGTCAGGAACACCACGCGCTCTAGTCTGTGCCCCAGCGTTCGGTTCACAGCCACACCTAGCGTGGGCAAGGTGGCCTGTGAGGTCAGCACTGCCACCAGCAGCCTCTGCCTGATGCCCAGCTCTGTGCTGATGTATCGAGTCCTACAGGAAGAGAACTCAGGGTCATCAAAAAGACAAGGCAGGCAGGAGAAGTACACAAGGTCCAGCAGGTCCTATCTTCTCAAGCTGTTTTCTCACCTATGCACAGGATACGAATAACACCTATCTCCCAGAGTCGTGAGGATTAAACGCAATACTAGTCTTATCCACATTGTATTTTGCATTTGGGAGTTGTCGATATCCATGCAGACAGGCCCTATGTCACAGGTGTGATTCTTGACTTCACTACTTAGTAGCTGTATCCTTGGTTGGATGTATTATTTAACCTGAGGCTCTGTAAAATGGACTGGTTTTAGCTAATAAAAGCACTTGGCAAATGTTCGGTGTACCATGAATATACTTATTTCTATTTAAATATGTTGCTATACCATAAGAACATCACATAAATGATGTAAAGGAATATATGGTATTGCGTGTGTTTGAGGAACGGTCAAAGTAGGACAGGGCAGGAAGTCACATTTGAAAAGCAGAAAGTAAGTTGTCGACCAGGAATCTGAGCTCCGTGTTACTTAGGAGAAATTATTTCAACTCATGACCAGAGCCATTCATGGAATGAGTACATTTCTTCCTCTCCTCTCACCCAGGTGGCCCTAGTGTCCCACTAGGAGTGGGATACAGGTAAATTCTAGTTCTCCCCTTTCACTTTCCCTATCGTTTATGCACTCACTGTATACACCAGTTATTTCTCTAACCCCTACAGCCCAGCCAGGAAGCGAAGAGGCTCTTTGGGGGACTACCGAGTGGAACCACGTAAGGACAGAGGTAGACAGGTTCAACTCGGGCCAAGATGAGACGCCGAAGGGGCCTCAAACTGGCCCCACTGCTCCGGGGTAAACAGGGCTATAGGAAGTTATCCGGGCCCAAAGACTTCCTGGCCGGTCGGCCCCTTCCTTCCGGAGCCTGACCCGGCCTCCGGCGGCCTCCCCCGCGCGCGCGCGTCCGGGTCAGTGCCCAGGGGGTGGGGCTGGCGGAGCGGATCGTTACCTGACGGCCTTCTTGGCGGCCTGGCCGGGCTTTGCCGGGTGGTAGGGCAAGACACGCGGCTCCCAGTTCTCCCCGGCGCCTGCGCCGGCTCCGGGCCTCTCGCGCTCGGCTCCTGGCTGCACCGAGTTGGGCCGGCGCGCCGCGTTGGTGTTGCCGCGCGGCTGCAGCTCAGAGTCTCCGGGCTGGGGCGGCCCTGGGCCGCAAGGCTCTTCCACCCAGGTGACGCTGAGCAGGCTCAGGGTGAAGCCCAGGGAGATGCCCACGGCCACGGGCCCCGCGGGCCGCAGCACAGACAGCAGCAGCGATGCCCGCATGGCTCCCGGACCGCGGGCCCCCGGGCCCCGCGCAGCCCCAGAGCAGTTCGAGGAGGCTCCGAGGGGGCGGGACCGGGGAGGGGGCGGATCCGGAGGGCCCGGGCCCCGCGGGCGGGCCCGCTCCCTCCCCGCCGCGTAGAGCCAGCGGCCCGAGCTGAACCCCCAGTACGGTGCTCCGCTCCCGCTCCAGCTGCGCTCGGCGCTGGAGCCTCGGCCCTGGCCGCCGCTGTCCGACGTGTCACTGCAAGGGCCCCGCCCCCGGGGTGGGGACTCAAACTCCAGCTACCGGAGAAGGCGGAGAAGGGGGAGGTTAAAGGGGAAGGACCCCCGGAAGTGCCCCTCCTCAGTGCCGGAGAGGGAGACGCCGGGGGCGGAGTCCCCTGCCTCCCCCCCGGCGTGGTTGGTGCGTCCCGGATGACGTCAGGAGCAGCCCGCCCCTGCCTGGATGGTGCGTCCTGAGTGACGTCAGGAGCAGAGGCCGGAGCTGTCCATCAGCACCAAGGGCCGCGGGCAGGATCAGGGCATGGGGCCGTGGCTCTGGGACAGCCTGAACCCCTGCTCCTGCTCCTTTCCCTTCCTCGGGCCGGGCCAGAGTCTCCGGACGCCACGGGACTGGTGTGCCAGCCGGTGTTGGAGGGGGAGCGGCGACGCCGCCGCGCGGAGACCGATCTCTCTGGCCCAGCAGCCCCCTGGCCCGCACGACGGACTTTCCCCGGACCCCAGTCAGCTGGAGCTTCGTGCGCCCCGCAACCCCGGCCCCTACGGCCCCTGCACAGCTTATTTTGCTCAGAAGCTCAGGTCGCCTCAAGTCCAGGTAGATCTTGGACAATCCCAGATTCAGCTTCCTTCAGACCAGTCTTCTGGCTGCCTTCCCTCACTGGCGGCGGCACACTGCCCGCATCTCCCCTCACTTCACTCAGCCCCCTTTAACTTCATCCCAGCCCCCTCGAGCCAGACACTTCTGTTTCCCTTTGTCTTTGCTTCCCACTTCAGGGATGCTTCCAGAGCTGCATGATGGGGGCACCACTCCTTTGTCCACTGTGTCCTGGCTGAATTCTCCCATTCCCACTCCCACCTTCATCCTGGTGGGGACCCAGCACTCTTCGTTGACCCCCAACTTCCTCCCCCTCAGGTAGACCTGGGAGGGTGACCCCCTTCCGCTCCCAGCACTATGCCGGGCACTATGGAGACACTGCGGTTCCAGCTGCTGCCCCCAGAGCCAGATGATACCTTCTGGGGTGCACCCTGTGAACAGCCGCTGGAACGCAGGTACCAAGCACTGCCGGCCCTCGTCTGCATCATGTGCTGTTTGTTTGGAGTCGTCTACTGCTTCTTCGGTGAGATCTCCCTCATTCCTCCCCTGGGCTCCCTACTGCTTCCTTGAGTTCTTTTTTTGAGGCTCCTAAGTCTTCTCCAGAGGCCCCCCATAAACACCTTCTCTCTTCCCCTCCTCTCACATCTCACACGTTTGTAGATCATTAGACTCTAGATTCTAGAGAACATAGGTTTTTGAATTAGATGTACAGTATTTGAGTTTGAATCTGGCTCTGTACGTTATTGTGATGCCTTGGGCATATTAACTTGTCAAAGCCTCAGTTCTCTCATCTGAACAAAGGAAACAATGTATTTGTCTCCTATAGAGTAATTATAAAAATTAGAAGCTATTCAATAAATAATAGCTATTTTCTTTGGTGCCAGGAATCAAACTCAGGACCTTGCATTTGCCAGGTTGTCTGCTGAGCTGGATCCCCAGCCCCAGTAGTAGCTATTGTAGCAAAGGGGTGTTTGGGTCCCTGTGCTGTGGAGAGAGATGCTGAAAATTTAGCAAGGTGATTAAACATGTTCCTTAGAACAGGGCATATTGTATGATGGGGGAGAGACTCCTGAAATATTCACATTTGTGATACATATCAGAGTGGGCTGGATGGTAGTCACACACATGGAGATCGCCTACAAGGCAGGCTCCAGTAATCAAAGCTGCTATGAAGAGTATACAGAATGGATACCGCAAAAGAGAGCTAAGTTAAATTAGGCAAGTGGGAGCTGAAATCCAGCTCATACTCTGCTTGCCAAACTCAAGCCTTGCAGAAGGCTGCTTTCCCTAGAGCCACCTTCCCTAGAGAAAGGAACACCCTTCTCTAATTTGCACAAAGTTATCATATGGGCTAGCAGTAGCCTAGAATAAATGCCTGGTTGTTCTACAGCAAGAGTTACAGAACTTCAGAAAGGAGAATGTGTTCTACAGGCAGAGGCCCAAGGAGGGTTATAAGTGACTGGAACCAGTAGGGTAAAGGAGGCTGGTAGGTTTGGCAAAGGTGAGGCAAGATTTGTGTAAATACCTCTCTGCAGAATGAGTGGGTAGATGAGGTGAGAGCCAGCTGGTCCCTCTCCTCCCACCTGAAACTCAACTGAATAACTGCAGACTGAGCAGGAGAAAGTGCCCTCTGAAAGGGTTCAGGACCTGTTCTGGGCCTCCAAAGAATCTGTATTACTTCATCCCCTTCACTGTCCATACCCAGTCCCTCTGCATAGTTCTCAGTATATCTTCATATTCCCCTCTGTGGGCTTCCCTGACATCCTACCCCCTTGGATATTCCTCCTCTGAGCCCTTGTCTAAGGACCCTACTCCTCTCTGACCCCAGAATCACGTGGACTCCAACACTTGTCCTCATTCCTAGAATAGAACCTGCTCTTCATTATCTTTCTCTTTGGCTCCTCTAACTTCCTGAGCCCATCTCTGACTTCCATTTTCCCAAATCTACCTTCTGCACTCTGTCACATATGCCTCATAGGCCTAATAGCTCTAATGGCCCTATAACCTTTTCTGCTGAAACTCCACAACTACTATTTCCCTCTATTCTCCTCTCCTCTTTGATCCCTCCCCCAGTCTCCTTTCCTTCCACCTCCCTGAGCTCTTCCATAACTGCTAGTTCTGGTCCCCGGTTCCTCCTCTCTGATCCCTATAGCCTCATCACTGGGTCACCTATCACTGCATTATAATCACAATAATCCCATTTCTCTGGCTTCAGTGTTCCTCTCTCAGAAGCCTTCTAATACTGTCAGTGATTCAACTTCTGCCAATCCCTATGCCCTGCAAATACTCTTTCTTCTAGAATTCCTCCCCAATAACTCAGCTCTCTGACCTCTTAACTTTCCAGTGATGCCTTATCTCTGTAGCCCTGTGACCCTTCAAAGAACCTGTATGACTCCCATCTCTCAAAGACACTTTTCTGACTTTTAAATACCTCATTTCCAATGCTTGCTTTGGCAGCACATATACTAAGCACTTCGTTTCAGAGCACTCCTTGCCTATAAGACCCCTGTGATATTGCCAATCCCATTGTGACGCCAGTGACCTATGTCTCTGAGCCCTATGAGCCCAAGACCCTAATGCCCCATTACTGATTTGCTCAACTCCAGTGATCTGCCTCTGGCTCCTCTGACCCTCAGAGACCCCAAATCATTATCTCATTGGTTACATCTGTGTTCACAATGAGACTCAGGAGCCATATCTCTCTGACTTCCCGGTGGCCCCCTCACTGATGCCGTCATGACCCCAGTGACACCCACTTCTCTTATTCGGTGTCCTTGCCCAGTGTCATGGTTCCTCTGGGATCCTATGTCCCTGACCCTGCTGACCTCTCTTCAGCCTGACAAGCTCTTTTGGGCGCTCAATTGTCCCTGTTCCCCTGCAGGTTACCGCTGCTTCAAGGCAGTGCTCTTCCTCACGGGGTTGCTGTTTGGCTCAGTGGTCATCTTCCTGCTGTGCTACCGGGAGCGGGTGCTGGAGACGCAGCTGAGCGCCGGGGCGAGCGCAGGCATCGCGCTGGGCATTGGGCTGCTCTGCGGGCTGGTGGCCATGTTGGTGCGCAGCGTGGGCCTATTCCTGGTAGGGCTGCTGCTCGGTCTGCTGCTCGCTGCCGCCGCCCTGCTGGGCTCCGCGCCCTACTACCAGCCTGGCTCTGTGTGGGGCCCACTAGGGCTGCTGCTGGGGGGCGGCTTGCTCTGCGCCCTGCTCACCCTACGCTGGCCCCGCCCACTCACCACCCTGTCCACTGCTGTGACTGGTGCTGCGCTCATCGCCACTGCGGCTGACTACTTTGCCGAGCTGCTACTGCTGGGGCGCTACGTGGTGGAGCGACTTCGGGCCGCCCCTGTGCCCCACCTCTGCTGGAGGAGCTGGGCCCTGCTGGCGCTGTGGCCCCTGCTCAGCCTGATGGGCGTTCTGGTGCAGTGGAGGGTGACGACAGAGAGGGACTCACACACTGAAGGTGAGAAAGCACAGACTAGGGTGGATATAGGAGGAGGGGATGGCCCGAGATGGGTGGAGGGCTGAGGGACCAGGACAAAGGAACAGAAACTGTACACGGCATCAGCAGAAGGCTTCAGTGGGTTAGGACAGCTGACTTGCTCAGCTCCTGCTCAGTGGGAGGACAGGACCAATGCCCCCATTCATTCCACAACAATGTATGGTATAGATCATCTGCCCTGGGCCAACCCCATCCCTGGATTAGGGATATAGCAGAGATAAAACAGAAAAGGAGACTGGGGATATAGCTCAGTGGCAGAACTCTAGCCCAACATGCACAGGGCCCTGGATTTGATCCCAAGCACTGCAAAACAAACAAAAAACAAACACCAGAAAAGTTTCCTGCCATTATGGGTGTATATCCAGGGCAGGTGAGAGACAGGTAATAGACATTCAATTAAACAAGATAATTCCTGTGCAGAGTGATATGAAGGAGATACACAATGTAACATGAAAGAGTGATCTTACGGAGACTATTATAGTTAGGGTCAGAGCTGCTTGGAAGAGGTGACATGTAGGCAGAGACCTGAGAGATAAGGAGCCAGCCATGGCTTCCAGCTCAAGAGGGGACGACAGGGACAAAGACCCCGAGAGGGAGTGTAGCTAGCATGTTTTGAGTAAGTGGGGCTGGAATGTGGCATGTGAGGTTAGACATCAAGCTGATCTTGAGGGTCTTCTGGGCCATGAGGAAGACACTGAATTTTATTAGAAAGGCAGTAAGATGCCAATGGAGGGTTTAAAGTAAGGGAGGGTATAAATCAGTGCTCAGGATGCTTGTTCTGCTGCTGAGTGTAGAGAGCCTTGGGGAGAGGCAAGCAAAGAAGGGAGCCAGTGAGAAAGCAGTGGTAGCTGTCCTGTTGCAAGATGATTGCGGCTCACCTGGAAGAGTCACCTGTGGCTCAAGATCTAGAGTGGGACAACAGCTGGGGGGGGGGTGCCTCCAAGTCCCAGAACCTCACACAGAGACATGCAGAAGAGAAGAATAATGGAAGAAAGGTCCATCTGGGAGGAGGGAGACTGGGAAAGAAGTGATGGGGTGGAGTGGGGGTAATGCGCAAGGGGAGCCTGGAAGTCTGAGCCCTGGTGGCGGGGACAGAAGGGGGAAGCTTGGAAGGAAGAGGTACATACACTGCTGAGTCCCTTCTCTGCCATCCCCGCTTAGTGGTCATCAGCCGGCAGAGACGACGTGTGCAGCTGATGCGGATTCGGCAGCAGGAAGAGCGAAAGGAGAAGCGGCGGAAGAAGAGACCACCTCGGGCTCCCCACAGAGGTTCCCGGGCTCCTCCAAGGCCTGGGCCCCCTGACCCTGCTTATCGCCGCAGGCCAGTGCCCATCAAACGCTTCAATGGAGATGTCCTCTCCCCGGTGAGCACTCTGAAGCCCTCCAGCCCAAATGGAGAAGACAAGAGTGTGTTGACCCTGTCCAAGCAGGACTGGGCTTTTCCTGGGGGCTAGTCACTGTCTAGAAGGCCTGATGTTTGTCCATCCATCGGAAGGCCTGTACTGAGAGCCTAGTCAGTCCTGCCCTGGGTTGGAGGAAAGTTGTCCCAAATGCAGACTTTAAGTGGGATAGGATAAGCAGTGGTCTGTGGGCTCTAGACTCAGATGTGAGGGTATCATGGGTCTGTGTATTCAGGGAAGAGGGGAGTATCAGGCTTGTGTGGGTGTAGGAGAGGTGGTTTGCAGTGGACTGTCACACCTGTGTTACCTCTTCACAGAGCTACATCCAGAGCTTCCGGGACCGGCAGACTGGGAGCTCCCTGAGCTCCTTCATGGCCTCACCCACAGATGCGGACTATGAGTATGGCTCCCAGGGACCACTGACAGCCTGCTCAGGCCCCCCTGTGCGGGTATAGCTGTATCTCTGCCTGTCTAGACTCTGCAGTCACCAGCTCTGCCAGCTTGTGGAGGCTTGCCAGGCTGCTACCCTGGATGCCTGGCCCTGGGGCCTTTGGCTGTGCCTCTGCGCTCCCTGGACGAGGCTGGCCTGGTCACTGGAAGGGAGGATCTATCTCAGGCTAGCCTTGGCCTGAGTGGAAAGCCCCCTCCCATGCTCCCGAGGGGCTCCTGAGGGACTTGGGGTATGAGCCCATTGGGGTGTGCTCAGGGTTGTGAGTGTGTTGCCTGTGTGTGCGTGTGTGTGAGGGAGTAGGCTTGGAGGGGACACTGGGACCCTTGCCTTAGAGTTTTGATTGGTAGGCCATCCTCAGGGCAGGCCTGCCTCCTCCCCACTGCTGGGGTCCCATGGGCTGCTCTCCTGCATGTCTATGTGGAGGAGGCCTGTCTGCCTCCACCATTCCTCTGCCTCCCAACTACTCCTCTAAGGGTTCTTGTCTTTGTCCACGGGGCAAACTGCAGCACCCCTCACCCTGGTCCCCCGGCCTCTACAAAGCCACCAGCCTGAGAGCAGTGACAGGGGAAGGGGGTGGGGGGCCCTGCCCTGGCTGGGTTGGGGGTGTGTGAAGGCAGGGGGCTTAAATGCACGGTGCATGTCTGGTGTCTGTCATGCCAACCTGGACACCTCATGCTTCTGTCCCCCTCCCACACCCTGCTGTACATCTTTTATAAATGTGCCAAACTGCGTGGCCTCTGCCAGGAGTAGTGGTCTTCAGTGGCTGGCACTTCTAGCGGTCTTCACTGGCTGGAAGCACTGCGGCCTCATACCCCTCTGTCACATACTACAAGGGCTCCAGGCGAGGTCTGTCCTCCCACAGCACAGAGAGGCAGGGAAATGAGCTGTAGCATATTTATTGTTTCCCAACACCTCTGGTTCCCCTGCCTCCCCACCCTGCCTAGGGTGAGAGCACACGCCTTCCAAGCCCTCCAAGGCACCCTCCTGGCCTGGTTCAGTCCTCCTAGTCACCTGCAGAGGAATGATTCCATGTGGGCTTGGAGGAGAGTAGACGGCACCTTCCTCTCCCTAGCAGAGCCCGGGCACCCACATGGGAAAAGTGAGCCCTCAGCCTCTGCCTTGCTGTATGTGGGGGTACGAAGGTGAGGGTCAGTTAGGGTCAGGTGTGGGATGCATGTAAAGAGAATGCAGGGATTTGACATAGAGGATAAGGCAGCTTCTCTGTGGAAGAGGGAAGGACAGGGACTAGCTTAGGAGCCCTCTGCCCAAGCTGATGTTGAAGCCCACGCTTCATTGGGCAGAAGCCAGCTGGAGCAGGAAGTGGGAGGGAGTAGGGTACCAGTGTCAGCACAGATATAGTGGGTGGCTGGAAAGGAGAGGAGCTGGTAGACATGGGGTGCTCAGGAGAGACTGTCTAGAGACACGAAGGAGTGAGGGAAAGCTGGGAAGAAAGGTCAGGACAGCTGACCAGAACCAAATGGCTCAGGTCGAGAATTCAGGGCTCTCTCCTCTCCTCAGTCCTGAGTGTTATCTATCCCACCCGCTTCTCCAGCTCCCCAACGAGGACAGCCATGACCTTTTGGAGGTGTGTCCAAGCTCCCAGGCGCCCCCTCCTGCCTGGCCAGCCGGCCTGCCCCTCAGACCTCTGTCCAGTGGGCTTTACTCACCCTCTACCAGCAGCCGTGTGTCGGCGCTGTCCTGGCCAGCCTGGCAGCAGTAGGTGCCCTGGTCCTCAGGTCGCACGTCATGGATAACCAGGCTGTGGGTGGGGCCGTGGCTACGCATTTCATACTTGTCTCCCGGACACAGCTCGACTCCTTCCCGCAACCAGCACACGGAGCCCCCGGAGCGGGACACGGTCACCTCCAGCACCGCCCGGCGGCCAGACAGAACCGTTTTCTCGCGAGGGGGGCGGCGGCACATCTGAAGAGGCAATGCTGAGGGTGGAAAGCAGTGCTTAAGCTAATAGGGACATACATGGCCCCCAGAGGAGAGACGCATCTTCTCTCTGCTTGTTTCTCCTCTGTGCTTACCAGTCTGTATCCCTGCATCCTCAGCCCAGTCCCCTCCTCCCCACCCGCTGCCCAGGAAACGCGCTGCCCTCTGTGACCCGCCCCAAGAGAGCCCCTCGAAGAGAGGGGAGAGGGAGGAGGCAGGGTTCTTAGGATCAGCCCCAGGCAGAGGTGATGCCCTTCCCCGTCACCCGCGTCTCAGTAGCTTACCCTCCACTTCTAGCAGAGCCGAGGACTGGGCGGGTCCCGCCTGGAAGCGGACTTCACCGGCGTCCTCCGCGCGCAGCAAGCTCAGGACTAGAATGTGTTTCTTTCCTGAGGGGGGAGGAGGGGCGCTAACGAGGCCGGAGCCGCCTCTGGAGAGGGTTCGCGATGAGAGTGGGACCAGAATAGGCTCCTGGGTGGGTTCGGACCCAGTAAGTGTGCTCTGGGATGGGTGGAGTAGGGATGCGGACCGGAAGAGGAGCCTTGCAGGACTCCTAGCTCGGGCGGAGGAAAGTCTCGGAGAACTGGCTGGTTCGGTTGTGGGGCGGGGCCTGTTCAAGTGGAGGCGGAGTTTATCCTAACGGGGCGGAGTCCGCTTGAACCTGGGGCGGAGCAGCCAGGGGCCGGAGAGGATGGAAAGGCGGCCAGACCTTCCTGTCGGATGCGGACGCGGCCTCCGGGTCTCAGCTGGCGGCCTCCGAGCTCCCAGCATCCCAGGGTCTCAGCCTCCGACACAGTGCATTCGAACGTGGCGCCGTCCCCTTCGCGGGCGCGCACAGACCGGAGCTCTTGGAGCACTGACACCCGGCGCTCTGGGGAGGAGCCCGGGAAGTGAGGCGGGACGGAGGGGCGGGGTCCGACCACGCCCCTCCACGCCCCCTCCACCCCTCCCTCGCCGAAGCTCCAGGGTCAGCACCGGGGAAAGACGTGTCTGCAGCCCCCGCACCCACAGCAGTGCCGGGGGCCCGGCATCGCCCTATACCCACCGCGCACGGTCAGGCGGACGGGCCCGGCGCGGGATGTCTCCACCGCGCAGCTGTAGGTCCCTGCGTCCGAGGTGCTGCATCGCCGCAGCTGGAGAAGGCGGCGCGTGCCGAGGGCCTGGAGCCGGAGCCGGGGGCTGGGGGTGAGCGCGCGCCCGTCCTAGAGGCAGAAGTTGCAGTAGGTCGCGCAGAGTCCAGCTGGGTCCCCGCAACGCGGCCCTGGAGCGCGGCGGCGCCCCCAGTGGAGGCCCAGCTGTCTGTCTGGCGGCTCATCTATGCATGGCCTCTGGCAAAGTGTCACTCTTCGGGACATTAGGGCCAAGGAGGGGCACTAAAGGTGCAGGAAACCCAGTACCATGTACAGATCAGAGGGTGTGAATGTGGGATTCTAGAATTTGGCAAACCTGGATTCAGGAGTGGGCTCTACCTCTTTTCTCTGCCTGTGGGCAAATAAATTCACTCCACTGAGGGTCAGTGTCCTCGTAAGTAACAAACACGGTGATAACAAGAGCTACCTTCATAGGATTATTGTAAGGCTAAAGGACTAAGTTCAGTGTAAATCTTAGCACAGTGCCAGGCACATCTGTCTGGTGAGCTCTGCTGTGGCCGTTATGATTACTGCTGTCTGCGCTGGGGCTGGACTCTGACCTTCTCCCAGGTGACATCTGCCAAGGCCTGGGAAAGCTCACATTCCAACGTAGCCGTGTCACCCTCGGTCACCTCTAGGTCCTGTGGCCCCCGAACAATGGTCACTGGGACCTCTGAGAGTGGGAGAGGGAGGACAGTGCAGAAGAAGCAAGGGTAAGAGCAAGATGAGGACCCAGCTGGCAGGGACAAGGACACACAGCACAAGGGGTCAGTGGCAAACACATTTAGACAGTGTGATCAGCAGAGGGCATTAGTGATGAGGGATGTGAGAGGACAAGTGGTTCAAGGCAGATGCTGGTCAGTAGAGGACAGACACATCAGGCCCAGTGGGGTGGGAGTGGCCAGCTGTGAGTCGCACGAAGGTGGTCAGTGAAGGACATGATGGGGTTCAGAGGGCACTGGGGAGTCTTGATCGGAGTCACCCATAGGCAGGTATGGCCAGTGGGGGCCACACTCGGCTGGAATGGACAGCAGCAGACATGGGTCAGTGGGGCCACAGTGGTTCAGCAGAGTAGGGTAGGAGGCAGAGCACTGTGGCCAGTGGGGAACACACTGCACTGGAAGTAAAACTTCCAGTTTTACTGGAAGACCCCCAACCAGAATTGCCAGTGGAGTCACCGTAGACAAGCAGTCAGTGGGTCAGAGGGCCTTGAGTGGTCACAGGGGCCACACTCAGGCAGGTAGAGGGGCCACAAGAGGAAGTGGTGGTCAGTGGCCTCACAGAGTGGACAAGCGAGGCGTGGTGGTGCACGCAAGCAATCCCAGTGCTCTGGGAGGCAGGGACAGGAGGGCTATTACAAGTATGAGCCCAGCCTGGGCAACGTAGTGACTTAGCAAGACTCTGTCACAAATAAAAATGTAGCTCAGTGCAAACAAAGCTTGTGAGTTCAAATCCCCGGTACAAAAAAGAAAAAGAAAGGAAGGAAGAAAAAAGCAGCCAGCAGGGCTACATTCAGGCACACAATAGGGACCACACTGGCACAGGCATGCTCAAGATGGCAAGGTCAGTGGCTTGCAGGGTCTGGAGCAGCTGGGACACATGGGGGCTGGCATAGTAAAAAGAGCCACATTCAGGCTGAGTGTGGTGGTGCATGCCCGTGATCCCAGCACTTGGGAGGCTGGGGCTGAGGCAGGAAGATCAGCGTTGAGTTCTCGGCCAGTCTGGGCTACATAGTGAGTTCGAGGCCAACCTGAACTACACAGCGAGACCCTGTCTCAAAAAGCAAAAACCAAAACAAGCCAAAAAACATTAAGAAAAAATAAAAATGAGGCACATTCAGGCAGGGCAGTCTGTAGAGCCACACCGGGTCAAAGGGCCAAGGGAGCCACACTCTGGCAGGGATGTTGGTGAAGGTCACACTAGGACAGGCAGGGTCACAGGGGCCACATGGGTAGTGGGATTAGTTGTCACACACAGGAGGATGGGTAGGGCCACATGGTCAGCAAGCAGGCGGCAGGCCCAGGGGCCACACCTCTCACAGTGAGTCTGGCAGCGCAGCGCAGGGCATCCGCCGTGAAGGAGACACAGCCTGAGTCTGCCCGGCCCAGGCCGCTGAGCACCAGGCGATGCGTGTGGCCCTCGGCGTGAATGTGGCACTTGGGTCCCGGCTGCAGCCGGACTCCGCCCCGTGCCCACTCCCCGGTCACACCCTCCTGGGACAGCTCCAGCTGGAAGGTGGCGCTGCCACCCTCGCTGACAGTCACATCCTCCAGAGGCCGCAGTGCCCGCAGCTGCCGAGCTGGTGTGAGGAGATGGGAGAGGAGCAGGATTCGGGCTCCAGCCCTGGGCAGGGGTTATGTGGGCTCATCGGCCCCTTGGCCCTCCCTGCACCACCCCAGCAGCCCCACGTAAGGCCCTGATTGCATACAATTCAGAAGTGGGGTGGAGCAGGCAGGAAGCAGGGAGTACAACCAGCTAGATTTGGCAGGGGCATACCGGTGTGAGGACAGGAGGATGCAGAAGGGGTGAGGTGTGGTTAAGGGGTTGAGCAGTCAGGGCAGGGAGTGCTGTGATGCTGGAAGGAGCAGGGAATTCGGGGTCAGACACCATGTGGTTTGTGTGCTGTGTGATCTTTGACAAACTCCTTGACCTCTCGGGGCCCAATTATATAAGGTAAGTAACGCTGAGACATGAGTTTGTTGTGATGATTAAATTAGGGTCTATGCTGGCATTTTTCACATTATTTCAGTTAGTGTCCTTAATGTCCACAGAGGTAGACAGCAGCCCCGTTTTTAAGGGGACGTGGCTCAGAGGGGTCAAATACCATGCACGAGGTCACAGAGCTAAAAGAAGTCTCTAGGAGGGGTAGAAGGAGAGAGGTACTATTTGCCTGCCACCTTTGCTTCTTAAATAGGCACTTGTATCCCTAGGGTGTGTGACTAAAGGATAAGCGCGAGTCTTTCTAGAGTATAGTATAGTGTTTATGTTTACAGCAAAGCTGACTTAGAAATATGAAATGGAATGCAAAATCACAGGGACTTCTGAGGTAAACAGAAAGCATCAGACAAAGGAAACATCCACTTTGGGCAGCTGCTGGGTCAGCCCGGGCTAGGACAGCCAGGGCTAACTTTCCTCTGCAGCAAGGGGCACTTTGGTGGGGGTCTTGGTGGTTGAGGGCAGTGCGGAGGGGCTGTGCCACAGGGCAGGTGATGTGTTAGGAGAAGACAGGGCACTCACGCCTCACGCTGAGCCTGGCCAGGGTGCGGTCATGGTGGCTCTCACAGCCATAGGTGCCCTGGTCAGCCAGCACAACACCACGGATGAACAGGCGGTGGATGTGGCCCTCCTGAGCCACGGATAGGCGAGAGTCGAGTGGGAGTGGTTCCCCGCCTCGAATCCAGCGCACGGCTCCTGCAGGGCCCACACGGCCCGTCTCCACCTCGAGGCACACGTCCTGGCCTTCCTCTGCCCGCACGTCCTGCAGTCGCTGCAGGAAGAGCAGCTCTGTCTCTGGTGGGGAGGAAGAGAGGAAGCCATGGAGCCTGGAGCCCGAAGCCACGGGGACAGGAGGCTGGCCCTGCTCCATCCCACTGCGCTGTCCCTAGGCCGAAGTGCAAGGCTGCTGTGGCCATGGCCAGGGACATTGGTTCGGAGACAGGGCCCTTTGTTCTCATTAACACCAAACCTCGAACGTGGAGCCGGGCACTGGTGGCTGTGCTCCCTGCGCGTGCTGTCACAGTCCCTGCATCCTCGAGCCGGCAGCTTCGCACGGTCAGTGTCCGGCTCGAGCCATTCTGGGCCACCTCCAGCTGGGGGCCTGGAGTGACGACAGCTCCATTGCGCAGCCAGGTGACATCAGCGTCTGGTGGCGAAACTTCACAGCGGAATGTGGCATCGTCACCCTCGTGGACAGTGAGTGGTGTCAGCTCTGAGACCAGCTTCACTGGTGGTGGCTCTGAGGGTGGGGTCAGGCAGTGAGCCAGGCTGTGCCCTTCCCCTCCTGCCTCCCTCCCCTCCTGGGGCACAGGCCTCTTCCTCTGTGAGGAACCTGGAGAAGTTGGCCTCTGCCCTCCTCCAAGGACATCAGCACCCAGGGTGGAGCCAGGGCAGGAGGTAGGGGTGGGGAATGAGAAGGGCTCAGAACGACAGGGTGGGCCCTTGGGGATGCCACGGCTCAAAAGGTGTGAGGGATGCACTGTTACCTTCCACAGTGACGAGGAAGATGCGGCTGTCCTGGGGCGCATCACACAGGTACTCCCCAGCGTCCCCGCTCCGTGCCCCCTGCACCCGCAGCACCTGCCTGGCCCCGGCCTGCTCCAGCTGCACCCGCCCCTGGCTCGCCAGGCGCTCCCCGTCCTTGTACCAGCGCACAGGGCCCCCGGGCCCGGAGAGGTGCACCACCAGCTCCAGGTCCCCGCCAGGGGTGCTTCGAACCCTTGTCTGGGCTGCCTCAGGGGCCACCACCCGCACGGGGGGCTCTGTGGGGTCAGAGCTGGGGGTCACTGGGAGAGAGGCTCCGGGCAGCAAGAGGGTGGGGAGGCAGTATGGGGAAGTTGGGGCAAGGGATAGACAAAGTGTGATAGGAAAGCAGAGCAGCTCATGGGTGGTCTGAAGATGCAACTCGGGCTTTCTGCTTAGGCTCTACTCACCAGCCACCTGGACAGTGAAGCTGAGGCTCGGTGCCCCAGAGGTCGCCCCACACTGGCAGGTGTAGAGGCCTGCATGGGCCAGTTCTGCAGCCTGGATGCAGAGGGCACGGCGGGGGCCCTCGGCCTGGAGCTCCAGGCCCTCGCCTTCCTGCACTGGCCTCCCATTGTGACTCCAGAATACAGGTGCAGTAGCTCGGGACAGTTCACAGCTCAGCACCACAGGCTCCCCGGGGGCCACGCAGAGTGGACTAGGGGCTGCTTCAGGTGCGAGAAACTGCACCGGGGCCTCTGCACAAAGAAAGAAAGATGTGAGCCCATGCCCGCCCCACCACCCTCCCCAGGCTGGCCGGACGCACCCACCAGCCAGGCTGACATTGAAGGTGACGGCCTCATCACGGGTCTCGCACACATACTCCCCAGCGTCCTCGGGCTGGGCATGGGGCAGGGTGAGAGTGCGGGAGGGCCCCTCAGCACCCAGTTGCAGGGCATCAGATGCTTCTACCTCCAGCCCATCCTTGTACCAGCGGACCTGGGACCCAGCCGGGGCCACCTCGCAGTGCAGCTCCACACGCCCTGGAGCCCCAAACTGCAGATCCAGGGTGCGGGCTGCCGGGTGTACAATCCTCTCTGGTGGGGCTGGTGGATGGGCAGACAGAGGGCCATATCGGTTGGGCCAGCAGCTTCTTCTTGCCTTGCCTACCTCCACTTGCTGCACTGTTCCCTGCTCTGCCTCTGACATACTTAGCGACGCCCAACACACCACCTCTTTTACTCTTTACTGGAATGTAAGCTCCATGAAGATTGTGCTCATTCGCTCAGTAGTGTATGCCCAGCATCACGGACAGTGGTGAGTGGAGTGGTCGCTCAATAAATATTTGTTAAGCGAATGACAGAATGAATGGTCCTAACTGCTGGGCTCCCTCCCAGCAGGCCTGTGGTCACTGTCCCAACTTGATTTGGGCCATGAAGGCTCTCTGACGGCTTAGAACGAGGAGGCTGGGGAGCTGGGGGAGATTGGGAGGGCGCAAGCAGCGGGTCTTTGAGATGCAGGAAGTAGGGATGCTTGGCTATCTTGTCTCAGTCCCCCGCTTCTCTACCTCTCAGGTCCCCCAGACACTGCCCACCTGTGACAGTGACAGTGAAGAAGGCCGAGTCATCTCCAGCATCGCACACAAACTCGCCCCCATCTGCGGGCTGGGCAGCAGGTAGGATGAGGCGGCGGCGGGGCCCATCACTCTCCAGCACCAGGGCCTCGCTCTCCTCTACCTCTAGGCCATCCCTGTACCAGCGCACCGGAGCATCCTCCCGGGACAGCTCACACATGAGCACCACACACTCCAAGCTCACGGCGATCAAGGTCACCTCATCCCGGGGGTAAATGATCCGCACGGGGGGCTCTGCAGAGGGGGCACCACAGCAAGCTCACCGTTAGGCTCCCTGGAGCTACTGGGCAGCATGAAGTCCTCGTCACCCACATGATAACAGGAGTAATGAGTGTGACAATAAGTAACAATAGGTCTACAATCTGCTCTCTGAAATCTCGGGGGCCAGTGATGTTACAGAATCCAGAATCCCTTGTGATCTAGAAATGCTGCCATTCTCACACATCACATTTCCTCAGCCCCCTTCCGGACACCTCCCTTCAAAATGATCACAGTAACACTGCTGCAGTGTAACCTATATTCACCCTAAGCAGGGCAAACTGAAAGGTATATTCTTATCAATCTAAATGTATAGCTATATTCATGCTCTTGGATAGTTAAAGTAGAAATGGCTTCACAGCAGTTAAACCCAGTTTTACTGAAATGACTTTGAATCCTACACTTACAAAAAGCCTTTTGATTTTGAGTTTTGGGGGATTTCAGAATTGTGGTTAAGGGTTGGCTATATTACTTTCAGAACAGTCCCAAGTACTTCAAACATTCACCCTCGAGGTGATCCCCAGGGGTGCGTAGTATGTTGTCTGTTTTCCAGATGAAAGAACAAGGGTACAGAGTGATAAAGCAATTTCCTTAAGGTCACATCTGGCTACAACTACTCTAGGATGAGAGGAAAACACCATCTGTCCAAGGGAGTCTCACACTTGACAGGCAGTGGCAGATTCCAAGCTTGGGCTTGCACCCATCAGTGCTTTTTGCATCTGTGTTTGGGAGTTGCCAACACCTGTCTGAGAGTTCCCTCGGGATGATGCGTGCTGACACTGGGAGCTCCTCTCCATGTGCCGGCCACTCCTCCACAGAAAGGGAGCCATGGCAGTATTGGAGGTGACCAGCGCATTGAACCCAAGCCTGCCCACATCACTGCTTCCCCATTTCCCTAGCGTCTGGCCCCCTTGTGGTGGGGCTGGGAAACTACTAGCCTCTGTACCCAAGGCTCTCTCAGTCCTCCGCCTCCCTGGGGACTACTCCCTCTGCTCCTTCAACTCACCTCCACAGATGGGGCCTGCTCTATGCCTAAAAGATGTAGGCTGGTTCTCCATGGCCCAGCATGGCCAGATTGCAGAGGGAGGCTGCCTGAGGAGTGGGAGAGGGAATGGGACAGTGGGGTGACGAGTGGGTGCAGCAATGGGGTTGGCGTGTCTGCACAGCTCAGAGACCTCAGCTTGATGTGGGCCTTGGATCACTCTGGCCTGCAGCTGAGGTGGTTTATGTGAACTTCCCGGTGAAGAGATGTGTGTTGTGGGGAGCCCACGTATGGGCTGGGATTTGTGTGGCTGTGGCCATTCTGTCTGGCCAGGGCTGATGAGTGGAAATGGGACAGAATGTGTGCAGACCTTGTTTGCACTGTGTCACTATCTGGGGTGCTGGGAGAGGGTGACAGGACGGTGCCAGCAGGAAAGTGACTTCAGTGTGGCCATCCGGGCTTTTCTATGCCACCTAGAGCAGCCTGAACACTCCCACACATCACACATACAGTGACTGTGGCCCCAAAATCTCCAACAGAGAACCACTATCACTTCCAGGTTGTTTTATCTTTTTCTAGAATATTCTCTGCCTACCTTGCCCCCATGTCCACACAGCCCTGGTGTCAGCTCTGAAGGACTTCCTGCTGTGCTGTCCATGACAGTGGCCCTAACCTGTGGCGGCCCTCAACTGCCCACTCTTCTCAGGCCTCTTCCAGTGCGTTACTCTCCTGTCGCTCTGGAAGTCAGAGAGTCTGTCTGCATGCTGCTGGGTACCCAGGCCCCGGGCAGGGGCTGGACCTCACAGGTGACCTTCTTCGAGGCCTCTCCTCTGTCCTCCCTCACAGGACTTATCACAAGGTGTCACTGGACATTTATTTGCATGTTTATTGGTTTAACAGGGGTCACAAACCCAAAGCCCACAGGGACCAGGTAGGTTAGGTCAGTAGCTGAAACAGTGAGAGGAGTGGAAAAAAAAAAAAGGAATAGCAGTGGGGGTAAGACAGAGGTTAGGGGCCCCGTGCTATGGGGCAGCTGCTACTCAGCACCAGCTGTTCGTCGCCATGGGGGGAAGCGGGACCAGAGCCGCCGGGTCTTCGGCTTTTTCAAGAGGATGCATAACTCCGGATTGTTATTTGAACTGTCCTGACTTTGGTAAGACTCTGTGGGCCAAACAAAACACATCTGTGGGCTGCACCAGGGTTCCCAGGACTGCCTGTGTGTGACTCCCTGGTTAACAGCTGCTGCCCCAGCTAGACTGGCAGCTCCCTGAGAACTGAGACAGACGGTGCCTGTATCACTTACCAGTCACTCTTGACCTCTGGCCCAGTGCCTGGCTGGGACTGTGTTCAGTTGATGAGTTGGTGTAACACAGCTAGTCCTGGCCTTGGCACTAGGCAGGGTCCTGTTCACTTGATAGGGGTTGGGCTCCTCCCAGCAGGACCCTCATGCATGCACCTGAAGCCAACACCACCACCCCTGGGGTACTCACAAGCAAAGGGCTATTCGGCAAGCTCCCCAGGGCTCCAGACGGCCCTCTGCTGACCCTGGGGAGCTGGGTGAGCCCATACCTGTGACTGTGACAGTGAAGGAGGCCGACTCGTCATCAATTTCACACAAGTACTCGCCGGAGTCCTCCAGCTGGACAGCGGGCAGCACCAGGCGGCGAACAGTGTCCTCCTTCTGCAGGAGCAGTGCTGGACTCTCCACCACTTCCTCACCATCCTTGGTCCAACGTACCTCAGCCCAGGGCCGGCATAGCTCACAGGTCAGCACCACACGCTCCAGGCGCACAGCTGCCACATACACCTTGCCACTGGGGTACACAATCCACGAGGAGACATCTAGAGGACAGGGACAGCTGCCACTGGGCATGAAGAGCTGTGGCCAGCATGCCCAGCTGCCCCGATCCAGGCCTGCTCCTTATGCCTGGAAAGTAGGGCACATGTTGAAAAGGGACTTTCCTTATACAGCTGCTCACAGCTGGGGACGCAGTCAGGGAAACACACCCAGTCACCAAAGCAGGAACTCTGTGCTATGCAGGAGCTGCACAGTGGGACCACATGTCAACCTGAGCTGTAGAAACAGCCCATGCCTTTTGTGTTGTGGGGGATCAAGAATGAAGGCTAAAATGGGGGCGAGAAGGTCTTGGTCCTTGGGTGGAGCCCTCTGGTGCCTGAGACTCTGCCCTGCAGCAGAAATGTCATAACCAGAGTCCCTTTTGGTGGAGGTCCCAAGAGGATGGAGAAGGCAGGGTTTCCCCACTGCCTGGCTTAGCCAAGACCATGAGCTTACGACAATGCGGTTTCTGAGTGTGGCTAGACCACAGGCAGAGAAAGGGAAGGATGGAAGGGCTGAAGAGTGACTGAGGACTGGGAGTGTGACAATGGCTCCAGCTGGCCCCCAACCTGTGATGGTGACTGTGAAGTAGGCACGCTCCTCTCCAGCAACACACTGAAACTCGCCCCCATCAGGGGGATGGGCAGCAGGCAGCACCAGGCGGTGATGCGGCCCTTCATCTTCCAGCACTATGTAGTCGTTCTCCTCCACCTCCTGGCCGTCCTTGTACCATCGCACGAGGGCGTCCTCTCGGTCCACCACACAGGTCAGCATGACACACTCTGAGGTTATGGCATGTACGAACACATGCTCCTGGGGGTCCACGATGTGCACTGGGGGTTCTGAATGGGGAACAGAAATGATCACACAGACATCCCACATGCTGGAGCTCTTGCGGCGAGGACACTGTGCATGGGAGGACCCTGGAGGGAGGGACTTAAAGCTATGCTGGGGAGGAGGGTCAGGAGCAATGATATGGGATCCTGTTGGCACGACAGGTGAGGGATGCAAAGATCATGCAGCATCTGAATGCCCACGGGTCTCCCAGAGGGTGAGAGGCAGTTGAATGGGAACTTGGAAGAGGGAGGCACATAAAGTTCACACAGCAGCAGCCACCATTTATCCAGGCAGAGGAGGTCACCAAAGCAAGCCACATTGGCTGAGTGTGCAGTTTCCTCTACAGAGAAGCTGCCAGGATGGCCATGAGGTGGAGGATGACTTAATGAGTGACAACCACAGCTTCATGGGTTGTGCAATGGAGTGGGTATGGGTCACGTTTCAAGGTCCAGGTGTCAAAACCTTGTTCCTCAGATTGGTGCTATTGGTGCCATGGATCTTTCGTAGGAGGGGCCTGTGAGAGGTCCTCAGGTCGGTGGGGTGGACCCTGAAGGGCACTGTGGGACCCCAGCCTCTCTCTCTCTTTTACTTGCTACACATGAAGTGGGCAGTCTGCTCTGCCACATGCTCCCCGCCACACCCACCAGAGGCCCAGTGCAATGGGTCCACCCATCTTGGACTGGAAACTCCAAAACTGTGAGCCAAAAGCCTTCTTTCTTTGTAAGTTAATTATCTCAGGTACTTTGTTACAGTGACAAAAAAACCTGACAAATGTAGTGAATTCCTTGTCACCAGGTGCATCCAGATAGGGGCCACAGGATCTCCTGCAATGGTGTTGGAAGCAGGATTTCCATCCAGAGGGAGAAGAGGAACAGCATCCATGCTCCAATGCTATCTTTCCCAAGAATCAGCTTTGCTAAAAAGGGACTCCCAGGCTGAGTCCTGAATGCTGTGGCTCTGGGTAGCCCAGGAGGCCTGGGCATATGAATTTATAGCAAGCTTCCAGGGTATTCCTGAGGCAGTCAGACCACTGACTGCCTTGCAAGACGCACTGGGCCAGTGCATTTGACACTTTTGTATGATGTGACCACCTGGAGCAGCAGGAGGCCAGTCTGGGTGGGGGTGAATCGGCTATGATGTTTGCTGGCCATGTGAAAAGGGAATCACATTACCTAAGACTCAGTTACTTGTCTGTTCGCTGGAGATACATTGCTCTTCAATAGTCTAAGAAGATTAAATGAAACAATGTATTTATGAAGTAACTAACATAGTACTAGGTTTAGCTACCAATGAATGTTATCTCCATTCCTCCATTCTTTAATTGCCCTTAGTTCTCTCACACAACCCAGCAGTGGGATCTAAAACACGTATCATGGCCCACTAGCCCTTCCCTATATAAGGCCCCCCACTCTCCCAACCAGATAGACCAGGGTACTGGTCTCAATGGCCCCCAGAACCAGCCTCAGCTGGAGCAGCTCAGGCCAGCATGGTTCCTGACCTTGGACAGTGACACTGAAGAAAGCTGAGACCCCTTCTGTTCTGCACTCAAACTCGCCGCTGTCTTGGACTCTGGCCTCAGGCAGGATCAGACAATGTTTGCGCCCATCCATCTTCACCACCAGTGTCTTGCTCTCCTCCACTTTCTGCCCATCCTTGTACCAGGTTGCTGGGAAGTCCACCCTCGAGAGCTCGCAGGTAAGCACTACCTTCTCCAAGGTCGTGAAGGTCAGTGACATCTTGTCCTCGGGACTTAGGATATGCACTGGGCTCTCTGCACAGAGAGAAGTTGTCACATGCAGCATCTGTAAAGTACTGTGCCTCAGGAAAGCATCCCTCTCTGTGGGGCATGTGTTCAGTGTTGGGTGGGTGCTGCCAACACATTTGTTCAGCCTTAAAAATGTGTTTGGACTTTCCTATGGTTTGGATATGATCTGAGTGAGTTCCCCAAAGGTTCATGTGATGGAGGCTTGGTCCTCAGTATGGTGGTGCTGGGAGGTGGTGGAACCTACAGGTGGAGCCCATTTGTTGGAAATGAGGTCATCAGGAGCATCACTTGGGAAAAGATTACTGTAGTTCTCATGGGACCCTAGTAATGTCTCAAGATATTGGGCTGTTATAAAGCAGGGGCAACCTAGGCCATGTGGCTTCTGCACACAGCTGTTTGCCCTCTCATTTCTCTTCCACATTGTGCCTCAGCCAATGGGGGCCTCACCAGAGGCTGAATTGATGGGGCTGCCCAATCTTGGGACTTTCAGCCACTAGAACTGTGAGCTAAATAAACTTTTCTTTATAAAGCACTCAGATTCAGGCATTTTGTTATAGCTACACCTTTTGGGGGGGCAGTGCTTGTGATGGAACCCAAGACCTCACTCACACATGCTAGGGAAAACAAACAAACAAACAAAAACATGCTAGGTAAATGTCCTACCACTGAGCTATGTCCCTACCTTTGTTATAGCAACAGAAAATGCACTAGAACACCAATTTATATCCCAACTTTTAAGAGGAGTGGCTTTAGCATCCCTAAGAGTTCCTAGAGAGCCTGCCAAAACACAGATTCTCAGAGATCCATGCATGCAGGGGCTAGAAAACCTGCATTATAAACCTGTGATGTGGGGCTGGGGATTTAGCTCAGCGGCAAAGTGCCTGCCTGGCAAGCGCAAGGTCGTGAGTTCGGTTCCCGGTACCAGAGAAAAACCAAAACCAAAAAAAAACCTGTGATGTTGGTGATCCTGGGTCACATTTTGGAAATACTGCTCTGGTTGCTGTTTATTCCTGCCCTTGGCTCTTCTTGCAATGCTTCTGATTAGCCACTTTAAGGACCCAAGCCTGGCTGCTGCTGAGTATCTTGGCTGATCTTACAAACTCCAGCAATGGAGAGACGGCAAACACCACAGTGTTCCTTGAATTTTCAGCCCTCCTACTCACAACTGTCCTCCTCTGGGATGCCTCATTACTTCTCTTCCACTGTTTTAACAGGAGGCACAGGGAATTCCAGAGCCGGATTGCCATAATCCAGCACCACCACTCACTAGCTTTGTGATTTGGGGTAAGTCATATAACCACCCTGTGCCTCAGTTTCCCCACTTAAAATGGCAATAATAAAAAAGCCTATCTTATAAGGCAGTTGAGAGGATTATGTTCATTTATGTAAAGTGATCAGGAATGTGCCTGGCATGGAGGAAGCTACTATGATAGTGTTGATGGCTAGCCAACAGGGCAGGGAGCAGTCAGGGACTGGCGCCTACGGTTCATGTCTCTCAAATGAGATGAGAAGTGGGACAGAATTCTGTAAAGCACAAAGCACTCCGGAAAGTTCAGGCATGATGATGATGAGGCTAACATGGGAGGCCCTGTATGTTTCATATGGGTTGAAACTGGCCTTCTGGACCTCTAAGCCCTCAACCAGCCCATCGGGGATGTGAAATGTGCCGTTCTGTCCTGGCCCAGCTTTGACAAATGGGAACAGCACCTGCTTTGCCTGTGTCTTGACCCTGCCTACCCATTTCGGTTCCTATCCATTTCCACCCATTTCGGTCCCAAGCACCAACCTTGGATGGTGAGGGCGGCTGAGTCCTGTACACCAGGGCAGCTGAAGCCAACCAGGGCCCCACTGTCCTGGTGCTTGACCGCTTGCAGGATGAGTCTGTGCTGCAGGCCCTTCTGCTCTTTTCGGTACCGCAGGGCCCCCAGCTCTACCTGGCCCTCTGGCTCATTACCCTTGAGCTCTTCCCCATTAAGGAACCAGGTGCCCTGGATGATGGTGGAGAGCTTGAGGGAGAAGATAGCATCTTCCCCGTCATATACCTGCACGTCTTCCAGACCTGCCACCAGGCGAGCTGTGGGCACTAAGGTAAACACAGAATGTGGCTGTCAGAACTGAAAAGGGTAGCAGAGGGCAGGGGCTGGCAGATGGAAGGATGTAAGAGGACAGCGACCGAGTGCCAGCGAAAGGAGAAAAAGTGATGGGAGGGCATGACTTGGGGTAGCAATGACAGGCAGGGTCTGGCAGGATTGACTCACCAAGGTGAGCAGAACCCTGAAACACAACGTGGGGACTGCGGCCGTGTTCGCTGACCGTGCAGATGCGGAAGCGGTAGTCACCCTCGGAGGGCACGCAGTCCCCAGGCACCTCCACAGCTCCAGCTTTCTCGATGCTAAAGCACTGGATCCAGTCTTCAGAGCCCACCTCCTGCCGCTCCAGCCGGTAGATGAAGGAGGTCTCAGGAAGTGGCTCCGGAGGCTTCCAGGTGAGCAGGACGGTATTCTTGTGGCCCTTGAACAACTCAGCCATCATGGGGGGTCCTGGGGGGCTGTGCTTGACACCTGAGACAAAAGCTGGTTTTGCATTCGAGCCTCGCCAAGCCTCCTGTAGCCCTCTCACTTTAAGTCCACTTTGGCAAGCCTAGCCCTGGAATCTGGTCACCCTCCCATCCAGGGGTTGCTCACATTTGACTCGGAGCAGAGTGGTTGTATGGGAGTTGCCCAGGCTAAAGGTGACTTCACCAGCATCTTCCCTGGTGACCCCTGGAAGGACCAGGGCATGCATGTGGCCAGAGCTGCTCTGGCAGGTGGATGGCAGCGCCTCCCCATCACGGCTCCAGCGGCCCTTGACCCCAGCCTCTTGTGTCTCCACTAGCAGCACAGCGTTCTCTCCCTCCAGGACATCGAGCTTCCGGGGCAGCCTTTTCAGGATGGGCCCTGAGATGTGGATGGGAGTCTATCAGCCTGGTGTCTAGGCTCCTGCCAGCCTTAGCCTTGGCCTCCTCCCACTGGCCAGCCAACCTTTGACCGTCACGTTGGCCACGCTGCGAACCCGGCCCCGCATCTCGCACAGGTAGACGCCATCATCATCTGCCTTCAGCCTATGGATAATGAGGCGCCTGACAACGCCCTCCTCGATCTGCTCGTACTTGCGGCAGGGCAGTAGCCGTTGGTCCTCTCGAAACCAGGCGGTGGGAATGCGGGAGTTGGGCACCTTACACTCCAGCACCGCAATGCCATTCTCCCGGCCCATCACGTCCTGCAGGGGCCTTGTGAAGCGGAGGCGGGGCTCTGCAGAGGATAGAGACAAGAGAAAGTTCTGGAGAGGGGCCAGCTGGGCAGGACTCCTAGGCATCCATGAACTCATGCGGTTTCCCCCTCCGCCTTTCCCTGAGCCTTCAGGCCTGTGGAGTCTCAGCAAAATCACCAAGAGGGAGGGAAGCTGGTCTGACTTCTTATCTGGCCCTGACACTCACTCGCCATACCATGTCACCTTGAGCAAGTCCATTTTGATATTCCTCTGCCTCAGTTTCCTTACTTGTGAAGGGGAGGGGCTGGATCAGATCACTGATTCTTTAAACTGTTTCCTGGGCCCCTCTGAGGCACATCACAAGTTGTGTAAGGATCTGAGTTGATTTTCATTTTTAAAACATTCTAACCATTTTCAAAACTGTATTTCAAAATTAAGAAATACAATGCTACAAACAGGCAGAGGTTAGTTAACTTGGGTTGCTGGAGGAGCTAAGCTCTGGGAAGTTCTTCGGGCTTTTCTTTCCTGAGTCCGGGTCAGTCAGGCAAGTTTGGGCATAGCAAGCTGTACCAGTAAGGCCACCATCGCAGTCCAGGTGCCACATGCTTCACTGCATGCCAGGCAGGGCTCACAAGAATTTGCCAACATTTTTGCCTCTGAGGGAGAAAGTTGGGCACTAATAGTGAAGATATAATCTCTTGAGTTGTGGTGAAATTCTATGATGGAGAGCTTTCACTGCAGTGGGATCTTGGGATGTTTTGTTTTGTCTGAATTTTCTGTTTACGGATAATGTAAGCATTTATTAGATATCATTGGTGATTCAACTTTGTAACATACTTCCTCTCCTTTCAAACCGGAGGAAGAGTTTAATGAAAGAATAGTCAATAATTAGCTGGGCGTGGTGGTACATCCTTGTAATCTCAACTACAGTACCTGGGAGGGTGAGGCAAGAGGATCACAAATCTGAGCCCACTTGGGGCAATTTAGTGAGACCTCATCTCAAAATAAAAAGGGCTGGAGATGTAGGTCAACGCAATGACTCTGGGTTCAGTGCCCAAAAGAAAAAAAATTGCAGGACATTTTTCCTCTCTCAAGACTACCTCTCCTGCGAATGGGCTGAGGGCTGGGGCCTTCTCCACAGACCCACTATGAATAAAGCCTCCATTCCAAATGTGTGTATTCACTACAACAGTTCCTTTATTCTCACTGACCAGTGTTATAAATTATAAATTTAGACTTAGAAATGTATATCCATAAAATACTCTTGTGTGTGTTTGTCGTACTGGAGATTGAACCTAGAGGCGCTCTACCACTGAGCTACATCCCCAGCCTTTTTTATTTTTTGTTTTGTGACAGGGTCTCCCTAAATTGCCCAGGCTGGACTCAAACTTGTGTCTCTCCTGCTTCAGCCTTTCCTCAGGTTAAACTCTCCCACTTATCTGCCTTACATCTGGGGGCTATAGATAGGAATTCAGCAGGGGAGATGGGGCTAAATTAGCAAAGGTTGAAACCCACTAGATGAGAACAGTTCTAAGGCTTCACGGTTTGCACATTACTCTTTAGCAGTTCCAGTATCTGTCTGGCAATCGCCTGGGTAGCTTGCTAAGTACCTCGGAGACCTACTAAACATGAATGTCAGGAGTTTCACTCCCCGCCCCCAGGCTTCTAGGCAGCTCTGGGCACCAAGGGGGTCAGGAGTAAGAAGGGCCTCTGCGGGTGCTGAAGGCCCCCCCCAGCACCGCTGCCCAGGACGCACTACCTTTGACATGCAGCTGCACAGCGCTGAGCGTCTGGCCCGCAGAGTTGCGCGCCGCGCACACGTAGAGCCCGCGGTCCTTGGCCTGGCAGTACAGCACCTTGAGCACAAAGCCGCCGTCGCGGTCGCGGTACATGAGGCGGCGGCGGTCGGGCAGCAGCGGGCGGCCCTCCCAGTGCCATTCGATCTCGGGCTCGGGCTTGCCCATCACGTAGCAGCGGAACTTGGCGTGCTTGCCCTCGTTCACCCAGAAGGTCTTGGGCGCACATTTCTGCGGCTCCACCACGGGCGTGGGGGTCCCGTCGGGGTCCTCGGGGGGGCTCTCGGGGGGCTGCTGCACCTGGAGCAGCGCGCCCGCCTGCGCGTGGCCGTGCGCGTTGCGGGCGTGGCACACGAAGACGCCGGAGTCCGGCAGCCGCGCCGCCAGGATGCGCAGCGCCAGGCTGGTGCCCGGGCCACCCGCGGCGCCAGGCTCCAGCGCGAAGTGGCTGCGGTCCCACACCTCGTCCAGGGCCATCCCGTCCTTCTCCCAGTACAGCGTGGGCTCGGGGACGCCCCCCACTTGGCACGTCAGCACCACCTCCGTCCCCCGCAGCACCCACTGGGACCGGGGCCCCGTCAG